TCTGCTTATATCATTTAAAAGAGCATCCACCAAAGAAGCAATAACATTTTCTGTTTCTTACAAAATCTGTAATCTATACTGTTACATATTTTGAAATGCAATAGTCTTGCATCTGCTGGACGAGAATAAAATACTCCACTTTATCGTATGCCTTAGCTAAGTCTAGAGTCACTAGTGTACAGTATTCGCACCAATGCCGAGCCAGCTGTATGTGACTTTCTAAATCCGCATGTGCACACCAAATAGAGTATCCCGATCTAAAGCCAATTCAACTGGGGTTTAATATTGAATGTTCATTGATATAGGTCATTATACGGGCATTCAAGACTTTCTCTGCAAATTTGACCAGGTTAGACATTAATGAAATATGTCTTACATTATCTAGAGCAAACATCATTCCCTGTTTCTTCCAACCGGCAGGAATCAAAGAAATTTTCAGTGTATAATTAACCGGATTACAGATTTCATGTGGGGATATTTCGTACGGCACTTTTATCATTGTAGAGGTCACCCCATCAGGTCCAGTGCTTTATCACATTCACCAGTTCAGCTAAAGATACCTCCTTGTTATCATCATCTGCCCTCAATTTCACCATGGGCTTTGGAATTATTGTCATAAACCTCTTTTCCAAGCCTTTAGTAACATTTTCTGAGAGTTCGGAGAGTTTGCGAGGAGACATAATGGCGGAATGAATACTTTGTGACTGGGGAATAATTTTTTCACATGCAAAAACCTGTAAAGTGCTTTTTTATTTTTAGACTTAGATTGATGATTGAATTTATTCATATCATAGTCATCTTTTGCTTTGCGCACTGTACATTTGACATCAGTAGCCATGGCGTGAATTTATAACCACACTAATTTTTAGGGCATTGGTTAATTAACAGCTTTTTCCGAGCCACTTTTTGCTTTCTATACTCTCTAACACATTCTACATTCCACCATAGACTAAAAGATCCTGCTGTGTCCGAGTTTATAGCAAATGTTGAATTCTTTAATGATAGTTTTAATACCACACACTGACTCATACCCCTAAAATCTTCCTGCATTTCCTCGCGAGAAATTAACATAGGTTTTACCTAAGTCTTTTTGTAATTTAACATAACTTACAAATGAACCAACTTTTCCGGCCCAACATAACTTTAAAAACTTAATTTCAAAACTAATGAGAATGTGGTCTCAGTTTGCAGCACAATCTAAGATATTTCACGAGGATATACTTAAAGAGAAGCTGGAAAATGTTAAATCTATAGTCGATTTAGAGTTACCTCTTACAAATGGAGCAGCATGTGAGTTCAAGCTGGAAAAGTTGTTATCAAGCGTCCATTCCCACCAACGTCTTCCACATACATCAGATCGGAAGCCCCAAGACACATTCACAGGCATATCAGCTGGGGGCGCTAGCCCCTCCACCAAGAAGAGCTAGGGAGCTTTACCCCAGCCCCCAACACTTCCGACAGTGGTCAATGTTGGCTGCATGATGGGGAAACAAACAACTAAGGTGATGTTTTCTTTGACCACAGTAATCACTCAGTTATAATGTTACGAGAGGATCAATATATTACAATAAAATGTTACATATAATGAAATCTTTCCAACAATTATGCTGTGAAGATTTTTTTAGTAGACTCTTTGCAGTGTGGACCACTGTACAATGCTTTCGTGTCTTGTGCTGCAGCATTGCAGAGCAGGCTAGCCCTGAACAGGGCCCTATAAGATTACATCACTGACTCATATGCTTTTATTCTGTTTTGCCTGGCTGGTTTACGCATCTACAGATGGCAATGAGCATAGTTTTTATGGACTAATGAAAGCACTTGCTGCTTCACGAAAATAATTTTCTTCCGTAGAAAAGGAATAGCATCACCACTGCTCTGTCGAAGCTGCTTTCAGCCTATGAGTGTGATGAATTCTTTTCAATGTTTAGTTTTGCCGTAATGAAAGAGCGGGAAAAAAAGGTTCGCGCTTAAGTCTCCGATTATCCAAATCAGTGATCAGTTTTTCTTATGGTTCCTTGTAATGGTGGCAGCAGCTTTCAAAGTGGCGACTAATAAAACAGTAGAATCGAGCAGTGGGAAGCTCAGCTTATGACCTTTCCCTAAAACTTGATCCTATGAACCAAAATTATAGTTAAAGTCTGTGGTTTTTCGCACTAAGTAGACTTAAAGAAGAGCACACATGCAGTGCTGCTTTTTCATCCCTCTTTCTCAGCAAGGATGAACTAATTGTATTTATGCAGAGAGTTGTGGGGTGATGCATGAAAAATTGCTGCCATATCCACAAATTGATGTGATGTAAGAGGCGCTTGCTCGGAGATGATTGCACAACCCATGAATCTTCTGTGTACATCTACCACCATCAGATATATAGACATCACAACGTTAGTATATATACCAGCACCATCCGTTTGCATGTTTCTGCACATACCCCATACTCTGTAGTATAAAGCTGTGCATTGCTTGCAAATTTTTTATGCAGTCATAACCATTTCGCACAAGTGCCTATGTTTATTGATAGTGGCATGATATCTGCCATATCCATGACGATAATAGTGAAGCATGTGTTGGGGGCCCCGATCATATTTATCTATTTAAAAAGTGTGTTTTTGTGTGGTCCCTGTATACCCTGATAAAGGCAGGCTCTCAACTTTGGAAGAAATAAACATTTTCTCACGTTTGTCCATTGTTTGTCCCCGTACACACACACACACACACACACACACACACACACACACACACACACACAGATATATATTTATATATGTATACATAAGTATATGTATAGGGAACGAATTAGGTAAGCTTGCCCCCTCACCCATCAAGTAGTTGGTACGCCACTGCATGGTGTGAATTGACATCACCACACAGTACTATATCGTTTCTGCATGAAGCTAACATGATATCAAGACATCTCGTGCCCTGAACTCCTGCCGGAAAGTATACGTTTGCAAAAGAAAAAGGGGAGCAGTCTGGTAGTGTTATGTCTAACCCCGGAATTTTGCAATCTGTATCTATCCACTGATACAATATCTTTGCTCTGTGACTAAACTTTGTTGATATTGAAAAAGCCAGACCGCCACCTCTACTCAGCAGATCCAGCCGCATTAATTGATAGTTTTTTAGGTAAAACGTTTCACTCTTAGCAAGCCAGTTTTCCTGAATAGCAATTATGTCTGGAAAATTTGTGAATAAATATATTTACATCTGCAAGTTCCGACCAAGTAGACCGGCAATTTCACTGCAGAATTTTTAATGAACCTATTTTGATGCTAGACCAGCAGTAGAAAGTGCCTGATCTAGAATATCTTTTTTGAAGAAATTATTTTTTGATAGGTCCTCAAAGAAATCCTTCTTTGACAGGTTTTTTTTTTTTATTTTGAGTTTCGAGGAGGCTTTTTTTGAAGGAGAAGATCTGTTACGCTTCAGAGTCTTTTTGAGATTCTGTGTGTGTTACCGATATGTAAAGTCTTCTGAATCATCTGTTAAGGGTTCTGACTCAGCCTGAATAATATTTTTAAAAGGTTCTGCTTTTGGAGATACAGATTTATGATTAACTGTCAGATTTTCCTCCTCGTTACTTCTTAAAATCAACAAAACCTGTGAATCCAGATTTTGCACAGAAACTGTACCAATGATTTGGCTCAGTTGTTGAGATAACATGTTAGCCAAGGCTTCAAAAAGAGTAGATGCCAAACGCTCCATTGCCTTTTCAGTAGACTTTTCAATGGCCTCTGTTATCGACTGTGCGAGTGATGCATCCATAGCAGCTATGTGCCGGGACGTTACACCTGCGTAACCTTTCGATCTTTCATGCATTTCTGCAACCGCCTCCCTTCTAGAGCAATGCCTATGTTCTATCATTTCTAAAACATGCAGTTCTCTCTCTTTAGCGGCACATTCAAAAGACTTTGCAGGGTGCGCTCCATTACACAAACAGCACATCCGCATTCATCAGACTTGCAATCGCAGCTGTTATGACTCTCACGCACAGACGACATCTAGCGCTTGATCTGCATCCTTTTGTGCTGGGGCCAAATTGCTAACATTTCAAGCGCTGCAATGGTTTCGGGGAAAGTGACTCTACTTTGTAGATTAGTGGCCATGCCTTAATTTTTGTCGGTCTGGTTCTTACAAAAGTTACAATAACTGATTCATTAGGCGATTTCTTGTTAACAGTCATTCGGGTGCACCAATAGACTGAAACTGCCCCAGCTACAGCAAATAAGTTCAGAATTTTTTTAGGTGCCAGACTCATATCTAACGCGGACTATATGCCCTTCGTAAATGTAATATGAGCTAGAATCAATGGGCTCACCGACTGTGCAGCAAATTCAGAACAATTTAGAAGCTCTCAGATGCAATCCTGGTCTGCAGAGCAGCGCAGGATACCCCCTCGGCCGAACTAAGGAACCTCAGTAACCTTCGGGTAGGTCTAACAAAAAAGTACTTAAATTTTGCTGGCTCACGTCTTCTAAAATGATGAGAGGAATCAAGGGAAAAAATTAAATATTAGAAATGGACAAATAGAAGCTATAGATGTAGAAAAGGAATGAGATAATTTCAACAAAAATAAATAAATAAAGCAAAATGGAAACCATCGAGCAATTTAGGAGTAATGAATTCAACAGCCTGAATTTCTTTTAACCTTTAATAAACTCCTGCAATGCCTCAACAACTTTCCCGTCATGGTATTCTATAGGGACAAAGCCCCCGAAGAAAGTGCATTTGCTGTGTTTAACTCCAATCTTAGGGGATGGAAGGTGGCACCTAATGTAAAGAAAACGTGCATATCCCTCGTTTGGGTGGCTAGCCACCCTAACCTCCTCTTTGCTAACTTCAGGATATATATTCCATCGAAGAACCATTGGTTCGGCATTTCACGGACCACGAAGCAGTATATATTAATGAAGGCAAAACGGAATGCAGAACTCAACAAAAAATACGAGTTATAACCAATAAAACATGGTATATATTGTACACATGCATTGTCAGTCACTTACGAGCGGGCGGGTGATTTTGCTTCGCCCACTTGTTATGATTCATTTCGTTGAGATACGTAGATTCTTTTGCTATCACCTTTTGTTTAAAAGTTTGTTCTATTCCTTCATTCCTGCCTTGGTGGCCGCATTTTCAATGGAGGCGACAATAGTTTAAAAAAAAAACCAAAAGTGGTCTAAACTTCTGAAGCCCTCCTACGAGTTCCCTCCAAATTATATCGTAGTTTTGACAATTATTATTGGGATTTCTTTTTGTCTCTATTTTTTCTTTGGCATTATATGAATTTTTTTACTTTTCCTTTATTTATCTTTCCTTTTCTCTGTGCTCATTCTCTCGCCCATCCGAGTTACAGCATCCCACGATAGACAAACCGGCACAGAGCGCACATGTTCGGGGAGCGTAGCAGACGATGAAGAGGAAGAAGAGAGCACTCTCCGGCATGGTAATAATTTTTAAAGAAAAACTGGGGGTTTGCAACGCTTACACAGCTCCGATGGTAAAAAGAACAAAAAAAAATGAGGGAAATGGTTTGGGCAGCTTATTTATGGTCGTCGGCAGGATTTTCTCTTGGGGGCTGGATTCCAGTGTGATGGTCTCTAGAATACTGTATACTGTATATTCTAGGGACCATACCAGTGTTGCATCGCAGCTTGAGAGGAGCAAGTGTCCCTTTTTGCACACCCCTGCCGACAACCATGTATCCAATGGCATTTTGATTTTGCTCTGCCTCCTCTCAATGCACATGCTTCCGTTGCTTTTTAACGAATGAATTAATCTATCATTTCTTTGTAGTTCCGGCATGTTGATTCGTTTCTGTCGTAGGCTACCTAGCTGTTGGCAACAGCAAGTAATTCATTATATTAAAAAAAAATCAACGTAGTTCGTCAAGTTGTAAAGAATCGCAAATTAATATTACCGCTATGCGCTGGCGTACCAAGAGAACGCATCGTTAGCACGTTCAGATGACACCCTATTGTGCTAAATTATAATATACTTTTCTGAAAAATAAATGTATCGAAAATACTCCTCAGCAAGATATTCGACGAGCTTAATAATCATACATTCCACGAATCAAATATCAACTGCCTCCTGTGGCGGCACGCTGTAACCTCTGAGCATGCCTCCGAGACAAACAACGTTCGTGGCTTTTCCTCTTTTCATCCTACATGTGACAAGTTGTGTAACTTGTGTTATATGGAATAAATAGACAGATTATGCCACGCTGTTCTTGGCTGATCGTGCAAGAAAAAAGCAAGATAAAATTTGAGAAGTGATTGAGAGAAATGGGGGAGAAGCGTTGGGCTAGGAAGGTTCTCAGCTACTTGTACATAAAGAACGTCGATACAAAATGGGGAAGCGAACCAGGAAATTGACTGGTAAATACTTAGAAAACAGCAGGTGGCCAAACCAAAAAGAACTATCGGTTAAGAAGAAAGTGAAGGAAACGGAGATGGACATGTGGATAATTGGCATGATTAAGAAGTTCGCACTAGAGATCTACCGAATTTTTAAGCAGGAAATTGCCAAGGAAAGGGTCTATGATAATAATCGGTGTAGTTCTCTACTGTTTGAGGCCAGGACGGGAGTATTGCGAACCAAGACATATCGGGCCAAATACGAAGGGGTAGACACAGTATGCAGTGCGTGTGGAGAGGAAGAAGAAACTGTCGAACACTTGATAATGTTCTGTAAAGGGCTTCACCCTATAGTTCAGGATGATGGCGCACAGAGTTTTTCAAAGCACTGGGGTTTAGGGACAGCGAGGGCAAAATAGACTTTAAGCGGGTAGACTTAACTAGAAGGAGGTTATCTGATTGGTGGCTAAAGTCAAGGCACAAGTAAAAATTAAACTCTTCACTGCAAAGTACGAATTCTTAGCCTCACTATTCAAAGAAAAAAAAGAAAGATAAATTTAATGGTTAGTTCACTAAGTATTACGGCTAGGTGACGTTAGCCGCCGCCCGATCTAAAGGGTACAGCCTGGTAGGTGTTTTGTGGTATAGCCACATCCATCCATCTATCGTGGCGCGCGCACCGAGTCATTACCGCACGGAGGAAGTGCATTACCGTCATATTGAGAATGGCAGGCGATGGTGCTTCGCTCTCTTTGGAAAGCATTTTGTTGCGCCTGCTTGTCCCTGACACTGGTATCATTGCTCAGGTATATATGTATACATATATATACATTTTCGAGCTATTCTAGAATCAGCCATTAATATGTCCTAACGAATCAACCGTATAGATATTTCCTTTTGGTGCGGTTAATTGTTGTAAAGCACACGAGGCACATGCCAGGCGCGCATGTTACACGTGCTCTAAAACAGGTGAAATAGACAGTTAAATTATAACCAACCGCTGCTCCATTACTGTGAAAAAGTGTTCTACGGTCTTTGCTCTTGCTCAACAGTTGACAGTTGGTATTGTGCACGTATTTGAGAAGAGTGAGCCGGCCGTGCGCACCTGCCTTCCATAAGATCGAGGGTTTCGTTTCCGTGGAATAAGCGAAAGTGAAGAAGGCGCCCGGACGTATATCTTCTATTTACCTATTAATTACTTTGCATAATAATTAAACGCTGATCTGATGTTTTGTTATCCACACACAAATTATTTGCTTGATTTCTAATTAAGGCACTCCTGAGCACTTCGTTCGCTCATTCGGAAGGGAAAACAGTGTTATTTGCGCATTGTTTTAGTTGCAGTTATGCTGGCAAGTTCTGTGTAGAGACCAGCAGCCTGTTCTGACGTCTCTCGGTGTGTGTTTGTGACTTTATATTAGAACCTAGGCTCATGTGCAATATATCCTATAAAAAGAATGTCAATTCACACGCGTTTGCTTCAGAGGCACTTTTTCTATGCAAGCTATAATGTAAATTTTGAATGCATCAACCGGCCTGCTTTGATTTGTAGAAATGTTGACTGTTGTTGAAACATGCACCGAGACTCTTCATTCTTAGGTTATAGCTTGGCTGTACGCTTGCTTTATGCACATACAAGCACTGTACCAATGTTACATGACCTGGTGCATAGACTGCGTTTCCTTCATTTGCAACCTGTCATCGGAATAAATTCCAGATTGGGTGCACCAGTGTGGGGCATGACAAAAGCATTAAGAAAAGCAAGGAAAGTTAGTCATGCTTAGTGTTGTACAGCCAGACTTAAGGGTGTGGGTTCGATTCTTGAGGTCCATGCAGTGAGGGGGCAAAATGAGAGAGCACCTGGGTGCTTAAAATAGTTGTATATTAAGGAAACACATGTGGTTGAAATTAATCTGGAGAAGTGTTCTGGTGTAAATCTGGTGGTTGGCTTCAAAAAGAGCAATAGATGTGACATTCATGCTTGAAGCACCCTTTGACGAGCATATATGGGAAATACCGAGTCTCCGACATGAAGGAAAGTGAAAATTTCAAAGCTCGTTTTCCTTGGTTAGACACATTGTTATCTGTTAGTTCTTAGACATGTGATGTACTAATGGTTGTTGTCACTTGTAAATGTACCAAAGGTGCTGCTCATTGGTATTTTGGCAAGGATTGTTTTACTTGCCTATTCAAAGGCCAGAATGGAAGTGTACATTGAATGTTATAAGCTTTGTGTTTTGCTGCATGGTACAAAACATGGTGAGAGAAATTTAGAGTCTTGTTGTGCAATAAAATGTTTTCCGAGCACAGTCACAAAAACAAAGTTCTGAAATGGCACATAGTTCTATGTGAGCAAACTGTGTAGGATGAGTGCTATAATTTTTTCATATTAACTTTCATATAGGCAACTCAAGAGCTCAAAGTAGCATACAGAGATCCCAATATTGTAGAGCACCTTTGCCATGCACTTTGCAGCTCTCGGAACATTCAGGTAAGCCCAATTCAAGATCACACTGTTTTTCTTTATGAGAATAGGATATTTGTTATCTTCCCCGCCGAGAAGTCTGCTTACGCAGGCGTATGGTGTGTAGCGACACCACGGACCCGAGTTTACAGGGTGTTTCGACCTCTCCCACGCCTAGCCGTGCGTGGCTTTGCCGTGTCCGTGGAAAAGGCGATCCTGGGGGTTAAGCGGACGACGGGCAATTGGACATTTAAGGCAGAGCCAACACACCCCTTTGGCCCCAGCTTCACGTAGACAGCACCCCTGGGCTGACCCACTTAGGGGAAATCTGCAGTCGCCTTTTCCTATCTCTCTCCCCCTAATCTCATCCTTATCTCTCACTTTTTATCTGTCCTGTCATCTTCTCTTATCCATTTACTTCCAAACTTCCTGGCGGCGAGGGTTAACCCTGTGTAGTTACCCAACCTTGGGTAGTTATATTTGGTTATAGCGGCGATGCATGGCTGGCGTCTCCAAGTGTTTACTATTCAACCTTGTAGCGTCCCCTTGTTGGGCTCGGTGATGGGGGTACACCATCGCCGCTGAACTTTACCCAATCTGTATGGCCAACTTTTTTCCCCTCTCTCCCTGATCGCCGCCCTAAAAGGTGGCGCACCGAAGAACAGTTCCTTTCATCAAAACCAAGGCATTCGTTCCCCAAGTTTTATGTTGTGCATTTTCAGAAAGAAAACAAAACAGTGCGAGCAATCTCACCTTTTCTTGTCTCAAAGACACTCACTGAAGCAATTGGTTCAGGGTATCGTGTAACCAAGGTGGGAAGCGGCGACCTCCTTTTGGAGGTTCGCGACAAGATACAATACGACAACTTATCTAAACTAGTAGCGTTTGGGGATGTCCCAGTTTCCATAGGCCCCCACAGATCCCTGAACAGAGTCTGGGGTGTCATTTCTGATGACGACCTTCTTGGATCATTAGAGAGGGAATTAGGTGGAAATGTTGTAGGCTCCTGTGCTCAGATTTGGGTGCACGTTACAGAACCCCAGGTGGTCGAAATTTCTGGAGCCCTCCACTACGGCGTCTCTCAGAATCATATGGTGGTTTTGGGACGTTAAACCCCACAAATCAATCGGAGAGTGAATTATTGGAAGGCTGGCAAGACCAGAATGTAGTGAAGGTTCAAAGAATAGTCATACGATGAAACAAAAAAGGAACACCAATGAAACATAATTATCACCTTTGGTACTAGCGATTTAACCGATTCAATCAAAACCGGCTACTGCGATCTTTGTGTCAGGCCGTACATACCAAATCCTTGTAGGTGTTTCAAATGTCAGTGCTTTGAACATGGGTCGCAAAGCTGCAGAGGGCGCGCTACTTGCGCAAACTGTCGCTCTAACGAACACCCATTGGACGATTGTACTGCTACAGCTCGCTGTGCAAACTGCGGAGGAGGCCATCCCGCCTACTCGCGATCGTGTCCATCCTGGAAAAAGGAAAAACAAATTGTGGAACTTAGTGAAATTCAATCTGTCTTTTCAAGAGGCGCACCAGCGTTTCTCTCTCCATAACAAGCACTCCCCTTCCTTTGCAGATGTGACGCGCCAGGGCACCGCATCACATCATTCCGCGCCCGCGCTGTCACACAGAGTGTGACCGCAGACGCGCCGTCTGCACCCAAGACTGGAGTAGCCTCTGCTGCTCCGCCTCCAGTTAAACAGGTTCAGCAGACTTCAGAGTCTGCCAAACCACTGCACCTGCATATAGGTCCGAAACTCCTGTGAATGTGCTTGCTCATCAGGCACCATCCGCCACTTGGCAGGAGGTGATGGATACAAGTCCCACTCCTTCGGCGCCTCAGATGTCACAGGATAGGCGCAACTCTTTGGAGGGCGCCCAGAAAGAAAAACGTCAAATTACGGGCTCCAAAAAGGACCTGTAACCTGAAGTAACACTTTTTGTACGCACAGCACCACACATCTTTAAAATGACACATATAATACAGTGGAATGTCAGAGGAATGCTGAGGAACCTCGAAGATATCCAAGAACTTTTATACAAACATCCACCAAAAGTGCTGTGCTTGCAAAAAACACACCTAAAATCAAGACTCACTAACTTTCTACTCAATTACATTATCTTTCAAAAGGACCGAGATGATGCTGTCGCCTCATCCGGTGGTGTTGCCATAATAGTTAATCAAGGAACAGCCTGTACACATTTACCCCTTCAGACATCCTTGGAAGCAGTAGCTGTCCGAGATGTCATCTTCAACAAATTGGTAACAATTTGCAGTATTTACGTACCTTTACATCATTAACTGAATAGACACCTATTTCAGTCGCTGATCGATGAACTTCCAGAATCGTATCTCGTCCTAGGGGACTTTAATGCTCATACTAGCTTATGGGGTGACTCTCTCTGCGATGCGCGAGGCTGCCTTATAGAACAGTTCTTTTTCTCTTCTGGTGCGTGTCTCCTCAATCGAAAAGAGTCAACATACTATAGCCTGGCTAATAATACCTACTCATCGATAGACCTCAGCATTGTCTCTCCATCGCTCCTATCGATACTCACATGGAAAGTCGTAAATAATCCTTACGGCAGAGACCATTTTCCTATTATTTGATGTACACTAACATCATCTGAATGTCCCGCACATGTTCCCAAATGGCTCATAGAAAAGGCCGATTGGGACCAGTTGTATAATATGGCTAGCTTAAGTTGGACTGACATATGCGGTTCTAGCATAAATGCATGTGTAGAGTACTTTAGTGCTTTTGTTATTGAAGCTGCGGCTAAGTGCATTCCGTAAACATCTGGACTACCCAGAAAAACGGCGTGTTCCCTGGTGGAACAGTGAGTGTCTCAATGCGCGCAAACAACAAAACAAAGCATGGAAGCGTCTTCGAGACTCCCCAACCAGCGAGAACCTTATTAATTTTAAAAACATCAAGTCACAAGGCAAGAGAACGTGTCGACAGGCCAGAAGGGAGAGCTGGCAGAAGTTTCTATCTGGCATCAACTCATATACACAAGAGGCAAAAGTCTGGCACATGGTCAGTACTGTAGTAGGGCGAGAAGCACATCCTCTTCCTCTAGTAAACACACAAGGCAATGGTTTGGAAGACCAAGCGAATTCCCTCAGTGCACACTTTGAACAGGTCTCCAGCTCAACCCATTACAGTCCGGCGTTCCAACGTTACAAAGTAAGAACAGAAAAACAAAAAAATAGAACGGAAATCCACATATAATGATGGATACAATGAACCTTTCATCTTGGCAGGGCTAGAAGCATCGCTAAATTGCTGTTACAAGACCACCCCATGCTCTGACCGTATAGTGTACGAAATGCTGAAACGTCTGTCCCCGGAAACCCCAAAACCCCTCCTTTCCTTGTATAATGCTGTTTGGTTTTCCGGAGAGATCCCTTCCGCCTGAAAAGAAGCCATCATTATTCCGATCCTTAAACAGGGTAAGGACCCATCTTCAGCATCAAGTTACAGGCCCATAGCATTGACGAGTTGCCTGTGCAAGGTTTTTGAGGAAATGATAAACGGGCGACTGATGCACTTCATTGAAACAAATAGCCTACTTGACCCATACCAGTGCGGGTTTCGGGAAGCTAAATCCACTACTGACCACCTTGTCGGTATTGAGTCAATAATTCGTGATGCTTTCATTCACAAACAATTTTTTCTTTCTGTGTTCCTAGATATGAAGAAGGCCTATGACACAACGTGGCGCTTTGGCATAATCCGAGACCTGTCACGCCTAGGTGTGCGGGGCAGAATGTTGGCAATAATCGAAAGCTACCTGTCTGATCGGACATTCCGTGTTCAAGTGGGCACTGTGTTGTCCCGTGTATTTGTTAAAAAAACAGGAGTACCGCTAGGAGGCGTATTGAGTTGTACACTATTTATAGTCAAAATGAACTCCTTGCGCCTCGCTATACCATGAAATATGTTTTACTTTACATATGTTGATGATGTGCAGGTTGGTTTTCAGTCTTGTAACCTCTCAGTGTGTGAACGTCAGTTTCAGTTAAGTTTGAACAAGATCTCTCAATGGGCAGATGAGAATGGCTTTAAACTGAACACGCAAAAGAGTACCTGCATCATATTCTGCCGGAAGAGGGGCGTTCATCCCGATGCTGAGATTGACATGCATGGTAAACGTCTGGCTGTAAAGTCTGAGCATACGTCTCTCGGCCTAATATTGGACGCAAAGCTAACCTTCATACCATAGATACATGTCCTTTACATACTACTACAAAGTTAACGCAGACGAGGAACATCTCACTCACATCATAATTAATCATGTGTCCAATGCTGCCTTGTTCAACAACCGTCCTTCACAAAGACAGCCCTACTCGCTCTGTGTGTGGAGCCTCGCTGAGGAAACAGGCATGCCTCTTCTAGAGCACCGGCTGATGGCTCCCGCAGCATATCCACCGCCGTGGCAGTGGCAGATAATTGACTAACGTATCCTTCGTGGAGGTTACTAAACACGCACCTACTGCACACATCCGCACACACTTCTTCGAACTTCAACATAGATACACTTGCCCGGAATTGATGCGTCAAAGTCCCGTACTGATGTGTCCTATGCAGCTGTTGGCCCATCCTTTTCAAAATCCGGTATTCTGCACCCGCAAACAAGTATCTTCACTGCAGAAGCCCATGCTATATCTGTGGTCGTCAAGTGTATCAAGGAATTGAATTGCAACGTGCGGTTGTGTACACAGATTCGCTGAGTGTCGTAACAGCTTTGAAAGCGCTGAAAAAACATAAAAATCCTGTCCTTATATCACTTTACTGTCTTTTATGCACAATCTCTGCCCTCAAATGACAGGTTGTGGTGTACAGGAAACGTAGTGGAGGATCAGCTGGCTGGGTCTATGCACGACCATGCACCCGCTAATACATCCCTGGCCGTCACTGCAGTTGACATGAAACCCTTCCTATGATGGAAATTCCGGGCGTTCTGGCAACGCCTGTGAGATAGACAAACAGATAATAAATTGCACGTTATCAAACCGAGACTTGAAAATTAGTCAACATTATCCAGGTCCCGCTACACACAAGCCACACTTACAAGACTACAAATAGGACACACTCACTCAATACATTCACACCTTTTGTCTGGTGGCGATGCGCCATTGTGTGAAAGATTTAGAGAACAACTTACGGTTCTCCACATCCTTCTGCAGTGCAATGAGCTAGATGCCCTCAGAAACAAGCACTTTTTACTTCCCTACTGACAGCAGCTGCTGGTACATCCGGCCATGCTCATCGGTTGGGATCTGCTTTTTAAAGTCGAATCACTATTTGCATTTTTAAATGATACACATAGCTTTCGACCCATATATCGAGCTGATCTGTAGCACGACCTCACTACTGAGGTCCCGGCTGCGGTGGCTCCATCTTCAGCATAGTTTTGTCACGACATTTCGCTTTTAAGTTTCACTGTACATATTTCACGCCACTGTCATGCTTTTAATACTTCTTTGTTTTTACCCGCCTAAGCGCGAGGAATTTTAAAGCCCCTATACAGCCACATACCGTATCATTGTTCACATCTCTTGTCTACTGAAATGGCGCTCTTTGGGCATTAATTGGCCCTTGAGCCATTAAGCCCTACACATCATCATCATATTTGTTATCTTCAGAAAGGTTTGCTCTAAAGCGCCTGGCATTTATTTCGTACCAATTGCAAGCGCTAAGACGGTGTATCTTGAGCGAAAGGAGGCATCCTTTCTAAAAATGGAAATCGAGGCTGTTTAGCATTGTGGGCATTTTGTAATGATCGAACTGCCCAGTTTTTCTCCACTTATTGGTTCCTTCTAATTTTATAACTTATGGACTAGTAAGACAAACATTTACTCTGTAGAAAGGGAAGCTTTGAGGTTTAGGTAATCTTTTGCCATGACACAGCAGATATTCACCAAAATATTTCTCTGTGGCCAGTACTAAGTATAATGAAAAAATTGAGCAATCCTGAGGCAAATGAGCTCTTTTATCTACCTTGTTTGCCTATACTGATACCCACCACATAGGTCTAGTGGTTAACGGGCTCTACTACTGACCTGCAGGTCACTGGTTCGATCACGTTTGCGGCGGTCACATTTTCGATGGGGGCAAAAATGCTTGAGGCCTGTTTATTTAGATTTGTGTGCACAATAAAGAACCCCAGGTGGTCGAAATTCCTGGAGCCCTTCATCATGGTGTTTCTCATAATAATATGGTGATTTTGAAATGTTAAACCCCAACAATCATTTATGCATGTACTAATGCACCATATGCTGCCTGTAGGTGGTTGCTGAACATAGCAAAAGCTTGCTTGGCTTGCTTGTGCCATGGGCTGTGTTCATGTTTTTTCTAGTGTCTTTTTCATGGAATCGTGGCTGTGTGTTACCGCAGAGTTGTAAAGTCGCATCAGAAGAGGTGTGACCTTTGTTTGCCACTTATACTTAGCCCAAGGTATTAAGCTTAAGCAGGTGAATTGAGCAGCACAAGTACAAAGGCCTTGAAATGCTTTGTTAGTTCTATGAGGCAGCCGAAGTTGCCACTAGCATAGCATTGCACTTGCACACACACAATTATGTGTTCTTTATATATAGGTGCGGCAGTACTCCGCAGTGCTCCTGCGGAAAAAGCTATACCGCTTTAGGTCCTGGAAGAAGCTTCCATTAGAGATGCAAAATGGGTAAGCTCATGGGGCTGTTTGCTACTTGAGTAGTTTGGAATAATTTGTATACTTTGTATACTTTTGGCTCAAAATAACCAAGCTCTCATGATAGAAAAAAATCTTCTTAAATAAATTTTTTTTTCCACATAGATGTGAGCCTTCAATTATACCTTTAAAATGCATTCTTCTCAAGATTCATTTTCAGGCAACTTCTTGAACTTGGACATGTTTTTTGTACTTCTGATAGCCCGACTGTGATAAAATTTTGCCTACATATTCCTTAACATGTGAAGGGTGCAGCTATGTTGTTTAGAAATTGATGTCATCTATATAATTATTAGGAACTTAAAGTAAGCGATAAGGGTGGGCAGAGGATTCTAAGAATTCTCACATTTTAATTTTATGTCTATTAAAATGTATTATATGCATTTTCTTGGTAGTTATTTACATTCTGCAGTTAGTGTGAAGCCATATGAGCGATTAATGGCTAGAACCGTTAAATATTGATGGCATAAAAAGTTTTTACAAAACATCTATACTTTACACATGTTCATGGCAAAAAACGAAAACTGTGCAACTTTTTTTTTATTAAATGTATTATTTAAACTAAATAAATATTGGAAATCAGCATAAAAGCTTATATATGATTCAAAAATTTCATTGCCCTTGGTAAACAATAATGAAACTTTTTTTTTTTAATTGCATCTCTCCTTTACAAGGCCTACAAGCTTTGATCAAGCCAGAGTGGTGCACCTGAATTAAAATGAGAAGGCATTACTTAGAATTTTAATGTGAAATAAATAATTTCAGATGTTTATTGGATCTTGTACCATACATTGCTGTTTCTCTCAATGTGTTTGACTTGCCCTTGGAGGCATCCTTCCTCACCACTATTCGAAGTAGCAATATGGGGGTTAGAGTAGGATTATGTGTCCCAGTTGATGGTATGAGTCTAAATTGCTGTCACCCTTTAACTCCAAACCGTTTTGATGGTTTAGTAAGGTTACTCCCTTAAAATAGTTTCTTTAGTTGGTACTGACTTTTTATCTTGGTACTGACTTTTTATCTTCTTCCTGTTGTGCAACAAAGAAAGTTGAGGCATATGAAGTAGATTCCGCTTAATGAACTTTGTTGGTTATTCATCATTTGAAAAAAGTCATCTAAAAAAAGAACAAAAAGTACAAGAATGCTATAAGAAATTTTGGGCATCTTGATAATAGTTTCTTCAGTCTGATAACTCAAAGCATTCTTACGACGAGTAAAAGCTTTTCTGTGAAATCAGAGACGGGGAAGGAGTTATTTCTGCGTCTGTGATTTGGGCAAGATTTCTTCATTTGTTGATCGCTGTGAGTGTGACCAGCAGGCAGGTGTAGGCACTAAATGGTATGATAGATTTTTGTGGTTTATGCTGAATGATAGTTTCCAGGATTGGTGTGGTTACATTAGGTCTCTGTGTTGATAAAGGCAAATAACAATTTATGCCGAAGTGAAAGCTCAACGTATGAGGTCTAAAACGGCAATATTATCAGCAGTGCCCTACTTATCAGGAATTAAGCTAAATTTATCCCACGATGTAGACCATGAATTTTGGAAATGATCCCGATGGCGTAACAGTATCCAACTACAATTAATCACTAGTAATCAAATTAGTTACAATAAAAAAGAACCTTCGATGCATCAAGAGACATAATAAAATGCTTATTTTCTATTTCTGTTTGATTTATGAAAAGAAGAATCATCTGGCATTACTATGGGGAATGGCACGAGTGGTTCAAAAGTTCCATTTTCCTCTGGTTAGGCTGGATAAATGGTGCCATCTAGTGGCGCGCAGTTGAACCAAGCAAGCAGAAAATTGTTCAATGGCCATTGTTGCTGCTGTGGCTCCCGCTACTTTTGCTCTGCTGGTACTGCCCAGGTGAAAATTATTCCTATTCCCAGCTGGGTTATGAACTCTGGAAATTTTTCCAGGCTGGAAACTCTAGCTGGGAATGAAAAATGTTTCCAGCCTGGAAATATTTTCAGTTCCGTAACGCAGTTGGGCATGGAAATATTCCCAGCTGAGAATGGAAGCATTTCAAGCAGGAAACAGGTTGATGCAAGCCTTGAAAGAATGTCCAGATTTTCACCTCACTGCTATTGCATACGTATTAGCATCTAGTTCTTCAGAACCTGTTCACCCAGATCACTCAACACAGACAAAGAAAATGGTTTCGAAACTTGACAACATTTATTGGAATTCCTAAAAACATTTATTGGAACGCTTGTAGCAAGTGCTGGCACATAGTATCTCGAGATGTGGAATGAGTTGGTTGCATCCTTGTACACCACCTGAAAAAGTATAACCTCACCAACCCACATGAACAGCATCAATACAGCCTTGAAACGAAGTATGATGCACCTTTATCATGCACCCAAGATAACAGCAGCGTGTAAAGCAAAGGTCCTTTTCAGAAACAATTGATGGGCATTGCAGTTTAAGCTGCAACAATTATTAAGCAACTACTAAGAAATAATTATTTTTTATCGATCTTAAACTACTTCAAATGAACGCCAAATTACTTCACGCGCACATGTGTAATTGATGGTGTTAGTTGGAAAGACGCATGCACGCCATTGGCACAAGCATTGCGACAGTCTTTTTGCCCAAACGGTCTGTAATGCATTTAGCGCGTACAGAAACATTGCGAAAAAATATTGAGGACAACCATGCCTAAATTATATAGGCGCAAAACTTACCTCCACACGGTAGAATCACAGTTGACATAATCCATTTCTCACGATCGGTGCTCAGTCCAACACATCACAGTTGACATATCCATCTCCCACGACCGGCGCTCGATCCCACTCATCGCACACAGTACAGCAGTAAAAACCACTTGAACGCACTCTCATAACTTGTAGCACTTTCCAGAGATAAAACTGAACTATTTCATAGAACTTCCACACAGGTATTCGTCAAGGAAAATCACTAGACTAGCGTACAGCGAGCATGCACACGTGCAACTTGCTCCACGACTAGCCGCCATTTGTTATACGAAACTGCGGTCATGCTGTGGGGGCTAATAAGGATTTATTCTATTTACTGGACCACTGTCGTTGATTATGTTACTTTAAAAAAAAAATATTACTTTTCCTATGCAGTATGAGTAATAAAGAGTAGGCTATTACTTAAATAAATTGCGTTAAAAAGCACTGAGAAATGTTACGACAATGGTGCTACTAGTGCTAATGAGATGCCAACAATAATCGCGGCAGCGCGTTGATTTTTGTGGTTCGTGGCTGTGGCATTGAAAAGAGCATGCTAGCAAAGCTTACAAATATTAGATTGAGGCAGTCAATGGTGAACTTAAAAGTAAGGCTTCTTTTAACAAAGAAGAAACTGGTATTGTTTAAAGCTCTAGGTGCAGCGGCTTAATGAGTAACTGAGCAAGCACCTGGTTGAACATCTACAGTTATAACATTTTGTAACGGCGTGTTCGCCGGGTGCACGACTATACGGTCAAATAAAAGTAGGTCAGACCCTGCCTTATATTTAATTCCCAGCTGTACGAGGCACCTAAAACCAGAGCAGTTAAATGTGTGCTGTATGATCTTAGTCGTTGACAGGATTTTTTTTTTTTTTTTGAGGGGGGGGGGGGGGGTGCAAACTCGTGTTGCACCACTGCTGGGGTAGGGAAAAAGTGCTGGTATAGCTTGGGTGGGGGAAAATGTTGATGTGTATTGAGGAGTGCAAGTACCCCTTTTCCAACCTCCTGCCGACACCCATGCATGCATGTGATTAATACTCTGAGCCATCCTCAAATACACAGCCTGCATTACCAAGAGGTCACTTTTCATTGGGTCTAGGAACAAAAAGTCGAGTTTTGGTATTTGATTTGTAAGGCTTGGGACTTTAGATAGCAAAAATGCGGGAAAAAAAACCCCTTGAGTTGCATTCCAGGAAACATGGTAAACACTTAAATCTGTCCCTTCTATGTAGACCACTTTTTGTTTGGCTCAAATTTCTTTTGTCTAATAACTACTTTCAAACAGGAAAACTTCATGCTAATCGAGCAAATTATTTCCCAACTGCAAGATGGAAAAAATTCTTGCTGGAAATATCACTTCCAAACTGGGACTGGAAAACTTCAAACAGGAAATAGAAATGATTCCCGACCGGAAAGCCATTCCCAGCTGGAAATATAACTTTCAAACTGATACTGAAAAGCCTCAAGCTTTAAATGGCTTTCCAGTCGGGAATCATTTCCATTTGCAGCCTGGAAATACCATTCCCAGCTGGAAATGGCATTTCCAGGTAGGAATGGGAAATTCCCCACCTGAATAGCAGTTTCCAGTTAAAATCCAGGCTGGAAACTCAATTTCCAGCTGGGAGTTCACATCCCATTTTCATGTGGGTAGTATCAGCAGCCACGTAGTTAAGGCGGGCAATGTTGGGCACGGCAACAGTGACGTCAGAAAAAGCGCTTTCAGACGAGCGATTTAAAGTGCACTAACACGATGTGGGCAATTGAAACATGATTTTATTTCAAAATAAGCACTTCCTTGGCACAAAATGAGCACTACAGGATTGTGAATTTCTGTTTTAACGATGTCGATTTAATATTTAACTTTAGTGTTTCTTTAAATGATCATATTTACTGCCACCCTGGGCTTGACATTGATGACTATGGCTAAAATCTTGCAAAGCTGTCTTTAAACTAAATGTCCAGTAGTTATTGCCAAGAGAAACTGTATTCAGTTCATCTGCTGGTGGTTTCAGCAGGAGGGCTCGACATTTTGTTAGTAGGGTTTTGGTTGCAGTGATATTTGTCATAAATAATCGGTTTTGGTGGCACCATGGAATACAGGCAAGTGCGGGCTCCGACTTCCTCTGCTCACCTGCCAATAACAAGACATGAAACAAAATAGTGAACTTCGATATTCTACAGCACATCTGTAAATGTCTTGACTAAAGTCACTCATGCACGTTGCACTTAAAGCAGATAAAATAAAAAGAATCCATACTTTGCCACAGCTCA